CTATTTTTTTAGATTATTATTTGAGCGGCAGAGTTACAGAAAAAGGGAAAGACAGAGAGAAAGGTCTTCCATCCACCAGTTCACTTCCTAAATGGCCACAGTGGCCGGAGCTGGGCAGGTCCAAAGCCAGGAGCCAGGAACTTCCTCTGGGTCTCCTACGTGGGTGCAGGGGCCCAAGGACTTGGGCCATCTTCTAATTTCCCAGGCCACAGCAGAGAGCTGGACCAGAAGCGGAGCAGCCGTGCCTTGAACCAGCACCCATATGGGATGCCGGCACTGCAGGCGACGGCTTTTACCCACTACATCACAGTGCCTGCCCCATTAGGTTTTAATTTAATGGTACACAACATACATGCTCTTTCCTCTCCCTGGAGGCCCTTTGGTCCCAGCTGACACACAAGCCACCCCCTTCCCTTTCCTTTAAGGCTGAGTCCACGTCCTTTTTTCCTGTGAGGTCATCCAAGGTCATTCCCGAGGCGGGCACCTTCTCCTCTTAGTGATGACCTAGGATCTCTCCCTGCCCCTAGGTCCCTTAGGTGTGCTTTGAGCATGGGAGGTGTTCAGGGGCTCTGAACAGCTGAACTTGCACACGGTAGACACTGACCCCTCCCACCCCGCCGAAACATCTGTGAAGCTCAAGGAGCACTTGCAGCCATTGTGAGATGATGGTGCGAGAGCCACAGTTACATTGTGAGCCGGCCGCTCTGACACCTGTGTGCTTGGCAGTGTTTATCGGTGTGATGAGCTGCATTCGGCCGGCTCGCAGATGGCTTTTCAGGCCATTCCCACGGCACTGCGAATAAGCCTCACAGCACTCTGCCTGGGGCGGTGGGGGCGTGGGGCAGAGGGTCTTGCCACATAGGAGAATCAGGACAGTGCCTCGCTTTATACGACAGAGCTTCAAAACGTTTGTGGAAAGATGGAGTTAAAGGGAATGCACACGTTCCATGAACTTGCTAAACGTACCCCACGTCTCCACAATCTTCTTTTTTTTTTTTTTTTTTTTTTGACAGGCAGAGTGGACAGTGAGAGAGAGAGACAGAGAGAAAGGTCTTCCTTTGCCGTTGGTTCACCCTCCAATGGCCGCCGCGGCTGGCACGCTGCGGCCGGCGCACCGCGCTGATCCGATGGCAGGAGCCAGGAGCCAGGTGCTTTTCCTGGTCTCCCATGGGGTGCAGGGCCCAAGCACCTGGGCCATCCTCCACTGCACTCCCGGGCCACAGCAGAGGGCTGGCCTGGAAGAGGGGCAACCGGGACAGAATCCGGTGCCCCGACCGGGACTAGAACCCGGTGTGCCGGCGCCGCTAGGCGGAGGATTAGCCTAGTGAGCCGCGGCGCCGGCCTCCACAATCTTCTTAAACATGTTCGTTTCGTCTATGTAAAAGGCAGACCAGCAGACATCCCCTATCTGCTGGTTTAGTCCCCAAATGGCTGCAACAGCCAGGGCTGCCCCAGGTCTAAGCCAGGAGCTTAGAACTCCATGCCGGTCTCCCATGCGGGAGGCAGCGGGCCCAAGTAACTGAGCCATCATCTGCTGTGTCCCAGGACTGGATTGGAAGAGGAGTAGCTGGGACTTGAGCCAGCGCTCTGATACGGGATGTGGCCATTTCAAGTGGTGGCTTCGCCCACTCTGCCACAGCACCTGCTCCTCCATTGAACTTTTCGAAGCCACCTCACTCTGTTACGTACTGGACTACAGGGTATGATTTGAGTTGAAGAAAGGGCTTTGCTGCTTTAAAAAAAAAAACCTGAAAATCACTGTTTTCTTGCTCTTTGCTCATCGTTTCACAAAAATGGAACAGCAAATAGAAACAAACAAACAAACAAAAAAAACCACTGACTCGAGTGTAACAGGCATGAGTCTGACCAGGATAAGACACTGATAGACAAGGTGGAATTCAAGAAGCAGGGGAGACCAGGACGCTTCTCCCCTGGATTGGACGTCTCTGGGTTCAAGCTGTCCTCCTGGTGTTCAGTTGTGTAGGAGAAGGACCACAGTTAAGAAATACGGGAAACCTACATTGCCAAAGATGATGTCTAAATTTGGGGCCAAGAGGGGGATTTTGTAACTGTTTAAAAACATCTTGGGCACAGACGATCGCTTTACGAGCATGCCTATTTAACCATTGCACCTGCCTTCAGCTGTGTTTATTTATTTATTTGCAAGGCAGAGTTACACACACACACAGAGGGGGGGAGAGAGAGAGAGAGAGAGAGAGGCTGACTTCCATCTGCTGGTTCACTCCCCAATTGTCCACAACACCCAGAGCTACGCCAATCCAAAGCCAGGAGCTTCTTCCAGGTCTCCCACATGGGCACAGGGGCCCAAGGACTTGGGCCATCCTCTACTGCTTTTCCAGGCCATAGCAGAGAGCTGGATTGGAAGTGGAGCAGCTGGGACTCAAACTGGTGCCCTTATGGGATGCTGGCACTGCAGGTAGCGGCCTTACCCACTATGCCACGGTGCCAGCTTTTCAGGAATGTGCATGGAAGCAGCAGACCTTGGACACGAAGCTCCCGTGACCAGGGCAAGTCCCACAAATGGGTACACAACAAATAGTCACTGGCTGACCGATCCTAGCTCATTAGGTTGAGGCCAACTCTGGGAAGGACAGCCATTGGCTGGTGTGTTCATCTCAGCCTCTTTCCCCTGCATCAGCTCAGAGGAATGCAGGGATAGCGATCTCTGTTTCCCACATCAATCCACTGCCATCAGTGGCAGTGTTGGCCACCGCTGCTGTCAAATCTCAACTCGTCCTTGGCTACCGCTCACCTCTCAGACCTGGGGGAGCCATGCTGCCTCCCAACAGGAGCTCCGTGCTTATGTGGATGCTTGCTAACGTTGACACTCTGCTGGCCGGACCATCGGCACGGGTGTGTACCCTTTTTGGCATGAGAAACATACACCATTCTCAGATGTATTGAGTAAGAATTTTTTAACAAGATTTACTTCATTAATTTGAAAGGCAGAGTTACAGAGAGGCAGAGTTTCAGAGAGGCGGAGGGAGGGAAGGAGGGAGGGTTGTCTTCCATTCATTGGTTCACTCCCCAGAATGGCTGCAATGGCCAGAGGTGGGCCAATCTGAAGCCAGGAGCAAGTGCTTCTTCTCTGCCTCCCACATGGGTGCAGGGGCCCAAAGACTTGGGCCATCTTCCACTACTTTCCCAGGCCATAACAGAGAGCTGGATCGTAAGAGGAGCAGCTGGGACCTGAACCGGTGCCCATATTGGGTGCTGGCACAAGAATTTTTTCTTTTTCTTTTTCTTTTTTTGTCTTTATTTATTTATTTATTTATTTTTGACAAGCAGAGTTAGAAAGAAAGGTCTTCCTTCTGTTGGTTCACCCCCCAAGTGGCCGCTACAGCTGGCGCGCTGCACCGATCTGAAGCCAGGAGCCAGGTGCTTCCTCCTGGTCTCCCATGCGGGTGCAGGGCCCAAGCACTTGGGCCATCCTCCACTGCCTTCCCGGCCACAGCAGAGAGCTGGACTGGAAGAGGAGAAACTGGGACAGAATCCGGTGCCCCAACCGGGACTAGAACCCGGAGTACCGGCACCGCAGGTAGAGGATTAGCCTAGTGAGCTGTGGCACTGGCCAAGAATTTTTTCAAGTACATCCTTCCTGAAGGGCCACATGACCATACCCATCAGGAGCTTGAAAAAGGAACTTGACTTTTGACTTAGAAATACCGTTCCCAGGGAGTGGTGTTGTGACATGAAGGTAAAGCTACCACCTCAACACCAGCATTCCATATGGGTGCCACTTTGTGTCCCAGCTGCTCCATTTCCAATCCAACTCCCCGCCACTGGCGTGGGGAAAACAGAGGAAGGAGGCCCAACTGCTTGGGACCCTTGCATCCATCTGGGAGACCCAGATGAAGCTGCTGGCTTCAGCCTAGCTCAACCCTGGCCATTGTGGCCACTTGGGGAGTGAACCAGCAGGTGGAAGATTTCTCTCCTTGTTTCTCCCTCTCTGTCTGCAACTCTGACATTCAAATAAGTGTTTCTCTTCAAAAAATGAACAAACCACTCCTGGGGCCAGTGCTGTGGTGCAGCGAATTAAAGCCCCAGCCTGCAGCGCCCGCATCCCATATGGGCACCTGTTTGAGTCCCAGTTGCTTCACTTCTGATCCAGCTCCCTGCTAATGCACCTGGGAAACCAGCAGAGGCTGGCCCAAGTCCTTGGGCCCCTGTGCCCATGTGGGAGACCCGGAAGAAGAAGCTCCTGGCTTCAGATTGGCCCAGCTCTGGCCATTGTGGGCATTTGGGGAGTGAACCAACAGATGGAAGAACTCTGTCTCTACCTCTCTAACTCTTTCAAACAAATAAACTAAATCTTTAGGAAAAAAACACTCCTAGATTTCCTTCTACATAATGGACAAAGATGACCACACAAAGATGTGCATTTTTATTTTTTGCAACAGTGAAAGAAAGGACATAGCTTCAAAGTCCCCAGGAGGAAAATGGTTGAAAAAGACAAGTTAGAAAAGAAAAAGTTCTTCTCTCTAGGTTGAATACAAAAATAGAAATATATATTCTATTTATATTATAAAAATATAAATTAAATTATATAATATATAATCTATAATATATAATAATATATATTTAATATATATACACTAAGATTTTTAAAGTCTAGGATGCTTTATACCAAAATGTTACAGAACAATTATCTTTTGGCTTAAAAGGATTTTTTCCTGCTTTGTCTGAATTACCTGAAGTTTTTCTGACAATGCTTTTGTCTATAAAGATAACGTATTCCCCTCGGTACTCATAGAATATGGTTTTAGGCAACACAGGCTGGTCAAGCCAACTTTGAAAGGTCGGAGGGAACTCGCACTGATAAAATGTCCAAGTCACTCTTGGAGACCTGCGCCGCAGAGCGTCCTACCACGGAGGTAGGGATGTGGGCTGGAGCATCTTGTTGCAAGTGTGTCTAATGCTTCATCCCCGGGCCTCCCTACCCCAGCAGAGCCCAGGCCGCGGCTGCACGCAATGCTTACCAGATAGGCTCTCCAGAAAGCCTGAATGCAAATCGCCGCTTCTTCCTCCGTCAGCAGCAGGGAGAGCATGATTGGAGGCCGCGGGCTGAAAAGGAACGAAACAGTCACATGCTCCATGCGTCCGCCTTGGAGTGACCTTGACAACAAAACACTCTCTGGTGAAGTGCCCCATCCAAGCCCTTTCTCAGAACGTAACAGTGTCACCGTTCATAGAAAATGCACGCTCAACTTGGCATTTTGTATCTCTCAATCTGGGATGGGGGCATGTATTCCTTTATTTGAAAGGCAAAGTTACCTAGAGAAGGAGATGACATCCATTGGCTCACTCTCCAAACGCCCCGCAATGGTCGGGGCTGGGTCAGGCCGAAGCTGGGAGCCAGGAGCTCCCCAGAAGCCTCCCACGTGGGAGCACGCTCACTGGACACTTGTGGGCTGAGCAGCTGCCTCCCTGAGGGGCGCAAGTAAGGAGCTACTGCCACTGGGTTAGAGTGGAAGAAAGAGGGGCGCACGGGGGTGGACAGCATGTCCTACGGAGATCACCTACTGCCTGGGAAACATGGGGAGTGGCCCAGAGAGAGGAGGCCGGCTCCGGAGTCCGGCAGCTGAAGCAGCCCTTGGCCCAGAAGCAAAAGCCACAGCCGCGGACAGCGCCCCCTCCATGGGGCTCTCCGGAGATACGGGAACTTCTGCAGGGGACTGCTGAGCAGAGCCGAGCTGGCACCCGTTCCACGGGGGAGACCCGACCGCGCCTCTGGGTCCAGCTGCCGCTTTGCAGCCCTAAGTACGTTTTTCACTGCAGATGTCCTGCAACCCACTGCTGGCTTCAGGAGGGCAGGAGGAAAAGAAGGAAAAATCTCCGGACAGGGACACAAGGGGTGGGGCCGGCCCAACAAAGGCCTCTCACAGCCCGGGAAACCGTGAGCCGCTCTCTGCATCACAATGACATCTCCGGAAAGCAAACTGGGAGAGGGAAAAGGAGAGGGAGAGGGAGAGTCCGTCCTCATGGGCCTCTAGAGCTGTAACAGGAGGCCACCTGGAGTGATGGATATCCCCATTCTGGCTAAATGGGCACCGTCCAGCTCCCAATCCGGGACTGGGTAGGAGAGAGCCCCTGGAAATCGAGCCAAACGCGGAGGATGGAGTCTCCGGAGAGGAGTGACAGGTGCCTTTGGGTCAGATGAAAACTAAAGAGGTGACAGCTTGTCACCAGGCAGCTGGGGGAGGAGAAGAGATGAATGTGTCAGTCACCGGAGAAGGCAGCTGAGGCTCCTCCCGGACCTGCCCGGGACCCCACCCCCCACCTCCGTCCGACGCGTTCGCGTGTTCAGGCATTCAGGCTTGCTGCCTTGTTTCTGAGAACTGTTTTCTGCTTTTTTTAAAAGCATTTATTTTTTTATTTGCAAGGCAGAGTTAGAGAAAGGAGTAGTGGAGAGAGACAGACAGACAGATGGCCTCAACAGCCAGAGTTGGGCTGGGCTGAAGCCAGGAGCTTCTTCTAGGTCTCCCACATGGGTGCAGGGCTCCAAGCACTTGGGCCGTCCTCCACTGCTTTCTCAGGCATGTTAGCAGGGAGCTGGATTGGAAGTGGAGCAGCCAGGACTCGAACCTGTGCCTGTATAGGATGCCAGTGCTTCAGGCAGCAGCTTAACCTGCTACGCCACAGCGCTGGCCTTGGGGACTGTTTTCTTAGTGCTGCTCTTTTTTCATGCACTTCATTTCCCAAGTGCAAATGAAGTATATTTGACTCCTCTGGGTCTCCACCCATGGGTACAGGGGCCTAAGCACTTGGGTCAGCCTCGGCTGCTTTCCCAGGCCATAGCGGGGAACTGGATCAGAAGTGGAACAGCTGGGACTCGAACCAGCGCCCATATGGGATGCCAACACTGCAGGCAGCTGCCTTACCCACTATACCACAGCTCTGGCCCAATACCTAATTTCTTAAAAATACAAGTTCATTTTGGTGCAGAAAGTTTTGAAATACATGCCTGCAAGGAAGTCTTCAATACCTTCGTGGAAAATGTTATGGAAGAAATGACACATGGAAGTAGACGCAAGGGGTTGTGATGACGCAAGGAAGGGGTCCCGAGCCGGGGAACCCAGGCCACCCCCAGAAGCCAGAGGACGAGGTCTCCCCAGAGCTCCCAGGGAGGCCAACACTTTGCTTTTAGCTCAGGAAAGCTGACTTTGGAACTCTAGCGTCCAGAGCTATAAGAGAACACGGGAACGTTATTCTACGCCACCCAGTTGGTGGGAAATGTGTCCTCACAGCCCTGGGCAGCCGAGACCTCACCAAGCATGCGGCAGAGCTGCAGCTGGAGCCCAGCTGGGGCTGCCTCGCCCAGGCTCGCGCCTCCCCAGCAGGAAGACGGAGAGGAAGCAGCACTGTACAGCCTGCAGAAAGGCCCCCCTCCCCCCCGGTGCCCCCTCAGCCTCTCAGGATGCTTGCGTCCCTGTGTGTCCCGAGTTCGGGAAGCAGCCTTCCTTCCTGCACACACGCGAAGCGCAGAGGCCATTTACCGTGCGGGCAGGGGGAGGCTCCCGGCCGCTGAGGTCCCCCACCCCACCCCCCACCCGGGAGTCTGTTCTTCCACGAGACAAAGTCGCTTCCAAGGCTTTTTGACTCTCAAAAGGGCGTGATGGCGTTGCAATGCGACCTTGAGCGCAGGATGCCCGCTGTCTCCTGGGTCACTTTGAAGGCAGGAGCGCGCTCGGTCCCTCGGCACATAGAGGCCACCGCATGGCCAGCGCTTGTCCTCACACGGCACCGGGATGCCTTTGTTTTCGCCTCACTTTTCAGTCATAAGATACCTTTCGCCAATGTGAAAGCATCGTGGGTTTTTTTTTTTTTTTTCCTCCCTTTTGCTCAGAGAACTGCTGAAAAGACACGTCAGCCTGCTTTAGCTTTCTCTTTTCTAAGATCTTTGTTTCGTGGAAGGTCTCCGTTTTAATGATATCTTTTATGAGGCTTCTCCCTGGGGGACAGGAGGCCGGCAGGGCTGTGGTGCACTTTTTGTTTTTTATTTTTGCAAAGGGATCTGACCGACTTTCTGTCAGTCCTCTTGGGCAATTCTTTTGGACACAAATAGGAGACTAAACTTTTCCTGTTCTTAATATGCCAGCAGATAATGACCTGGCCTCTGATGGGCAGGTTGGGTTAGGACCCTACACTTTTTTTTTTTTTTTGACAGGCAGAGTGGATAGTGAGAGAGAGAGACAGAGAGAAAGGTTGTCCTTTTGCCGTTGGTTCACCCTCCAATGGCCTCCGCGGCCGGCGCACCACGCTGATCCGATGGCAGGAGCCAGGAGCCAGGTACTTATCCTGGTCTCCCATGGGGTGCAGGGCCCAAGCACTTGGGCCATCCTCCACTGCACTCCCTGGCCACAGCAGAGAACTGGCCTGGAAGAGGGGCAACCAGGACAGAATCCGCTGCCCCGACTGGGACTAGAACCCGGTGTGCCGGCGCCGTAAGGCAGAGGATTAGCCTAGTGAGCTGCAGCGCTGGCCAGGACCCTACACTTCTAAAGAGAATGGTGATTAGGAATAAGGTCAATAGGATGTCTAGTATAACGCACCAGTGTGGACGATGGGGGAATACGGCATCCCTAACAAATGGTGGTTAGAGCCCGTGTGTCATTGCTCCCCGTCTTGCAGGGAAACTGTGCATCCCTTCCCCTGGCCATACACCTTGTGGTTCCTCCCTTTGGGAAGTGTCCCGTTCCTCTGGTGTTGAACTTGGCCATTTGACCTGCATTGGCCAATGTATAAGAGGGTGAGGGTTAGACCTGCAGTGCTACAAGGCTCTGAGACTTGGTGGGGGGGTGGGGGGGTTAGTGCTTGTTACTACAGCAGAACTTAGGGAGAGATGACTGACAGAGTACTGGGGGGTAGGCGGGGCCATAGCAGGACATTTCACTTGCAAGTGTCAGGAACTCAACCTGCCTTAAACAAAAGGGCTCACTTTATTTGCAAAGCGGGGGAGAGTTGAATTTCCATACGGCCAGATGATGAGGCTCAAAGGAACATCACAGGGGCAGGCATGTTGTGCAGTGGGTAAGATGCCCCTGGGAACGGCCCCATCCCGCGGCGGAGCGCCTATTCAAGTCTCAGCTCTGCTTCTGACTCCCGCTCTCTGCTAATGCACACCCTGGGAGGCAGCAGGTGATGGATCGAGTCGTTGGGTCCCTGCCACCCATGGGGGAGACCTGGATTGAGTTCCCCGTTCCCAGCTTTTGCCTGGCCCGGCCCTGGCTGTTTGTGCCTGTCTCATTTTAAAATAAAATGAAAGTAAATGACTTAAAAATTATTTTAAATTTTAAAAGATTGTAAGGACACAGACCCTTGCCGCCTTTCCATTCTGTCGTCTCGGGCTAAGGACCTTTGCCTTTAGGTGGTCGATCTTTGCAGTTACAAGCTTCGAGCTGCTCAGAGCAAAGTCTGGGATGTCGTAGTGCAGGGGGCTGGGCTGCTTGGGATGCCTCGTCCCATACTGGACTGCCACTGGGGTGCTGGCCAAGCCCTGGCACCTCCGCTTCTGATCCACTTCCTGCTAACCATCCTCTAAGGCAGCAGATGCTGGCCCAAGGGTTTGGACCCCTGGCACCCACGTGGGACATTCAGATGGAGTTTGGGGCTCCCAGCTCAACCCTGCTGTTGCAGTCATTTGGAGAGTGAACTAGAAGACGGAAGATAAGTCTCTGGCGTGCTCTTGCTCTGCTTTCCAAATAGATCAGAATAAGCTAAAGCTTAATAAAAAATGAGAAATCTAAGGGGAAAAAGTCTTGGGATTAACTCTGGGTGAACTGATTTGGGTAGCCGCCCTGGTGGTCAGGGAGAATCACCGATCTGATTGGCCAGACCTGGGTCACAACCCAGGCCCGAGCCAGAGGTGGAGTCGGCGCCCTGAGCCGGCGGAGTTGAGGATGGCAGATGGGTGATCCTTTAGGGACACAGGGGATCCTGTAACCCAAAGAGGGAGATCAACACAGGGCTGGGAGAAGCATAAATGTCCACCCCCACAAAGCAACAAAATGGAATAAATGTCCTTCAGTCTTACAACTGTTCTTCATTCCTACAATAATTCTGCAGAAACTACAAAAACTGGAAAGCAGAGAGGAGAAAACAGAAGGCATTCATGTTCCTGCCACTTGGAGTGGAACCTTCTTTTGAATGATTGTCTTTGGAGGCCTGGAGTTAGTTCATTCCATGATGATCCTTGAACATTCTCTGTCAGTGGATAATTTACCCAATATGTATATGGTAAACACAATAGATTTTCGTTACTTCTATAAGCGTAGGAGCATTTTTTATATGTCCCCGGCTACATACAAATGTAGCTGTAAGAGGAAGTTAGGGAAAATGAGTGGCCAGTTGGGAAAGGGTGGATGGAGCCTGTGGGAGAAGGGCCCGTCATCTGTGTGACAAGCAGTTGGCAGCCGCCGTGACAAATGATCCCAACCTCCCAGCTGTGATCTGATGGTATAATCACATGAGCTTCCAAGGCAGCTGGGCTTGAGAGACCGTCTTACCAAGAGCAGTAAAGTAAGACCCGCGCTCCCCGGGCTGGCGGGTCAGGTTATTTGAGGCACTGATTGCTAGCAAGCACACGGAGCAGTTGCACTGTAAAACTGAGACCTAAGATGGGGGTCATCAGTCAACATTTCCATTTCAAATCCTTAAATGACCCCAACAAGTGGCAGAGCTCGGTGGTCTCATGGGGCTGATTTTCTCCCAGTCTCAGTTCTGATCACTTTAAATACCAGGTGACAGGAGACAGCGCAGAAGTGGGAACTGCCCTCTTAACAGCCCCAGCGCTGGAGCCCAGCTGCTGGGTGCAAATCCTGACCCTGTGATTGGCTTATGTATGATGTCAGTGACCACTCAAGGCTCTTGACAGTGACCTGCCTAGGCTATGGAAGACTTTTTTTTTTTTTATTTAATGAGCATAAATTTCCAAAGTACAGCTTATGGATTACAATAGCTTCCCCCCGCCCCATAACTTCCCTCCTACCCACAACACTCCCCTCTCCCACTCCCTCTTCCCTTACATTCACATCAAGATTAATTTTCAATTATCTTTATATACAGAAGATCAATTTAGCATATATTAAGTAAAGATTTCAAGTTTGCACCCACACAGAAACACAAAGTGTAAAATACTATTTGAGTACTAGTTATAGCATTAATTAAACACCTAAGAGTAATTGTGTATTAATTACAGAGTTCAACCAATAGTTTTAAGTAGAACA